ATCTAGAGTCGACTATAGCTGTTCCTAATACTGATCCTCCATCTCGAGATGCTATCCACCTCTACGCATACGTGAGAACCTCACATGATTTCTATACCACCATGGATTATCCTAAAAGCCGAATCTCACCAAGCTGCTTAGTATCAGGAGCCTTATCTTTTTAATAAGGGATATGCCCTTTTTAAAAGCCAGAATGGCTGGACAACGGATGAAATTGGCTTTCGCTGCTAAAGGAGATGTTCGAACCATATTCTAAACGCCACCCAACTGGCGGAAAGTGTTTGCTTATATGATGATAATGATGGATTCATTTGCCCGACGTAGCTTGCTCTAAATATATGCTATGTGGGAGTGCTGTCAGGCCTGCTGACAGCTTGAAGGTGGTCGCCAGCCCATTGAACGATTGTTTCCATGGGTTGCAACGCAAGCCCCTGATTGGTCGCCCGAGAATGTATGCAAATATGACAAAATAGACAAAATAAACAAAGAAATCCAAACGAACGTCGCCTCCCCTCTACCCACTCTCCTTTCCACATCTACTTCATCCTCCACCGCCTTCATCTGCGCAGCCCTCTGGGCCGTCGGCTGCCGCTCCTGCGCTCGCTTGCGTCAAGGGAGTGCAGTGGACCTGGCACTGCACCCCTAACGGGCACCGTCCTTCTCCTTCCGTCACACTGTCCTGAGGGGTCATCCTTTTTCGTCGCCTTCTTCCGTGCCGAGAGCCAATGGGTCGACTGCTTGAAACTAGTTTAAGGGACCTGTCTGGACCATGAATTCGGCCACAATTATGCGAGCCTCTGGCCCCGTCAGGAGCTCGTCGCGTCGCAGAGCAACTCCGCGGTCGGACAGAGCGTTTCTCATCCAGTTGCGCCCGTCTTGGAGTAGCGGGCATTCAAGCAAGATATGATTGACCGTCTGGTTCCCCAGATCGCAACCACATCTCGCTGACTCGCGCCGATTGATGCGAGTCAAGTAGGCAGCAAGGCCAATTCGTCCAGTACGAAGCTGCATCAGAATGGACGCTGTCGCTTTCCGCAGGTCGGACCAGTATTCCAGGGTCTTCTTTGTTGGTCGTTCGACTAAGCGTTTCGTCGGTCGACCTGTTCTCTCTATAGACCATGACCTTTCCCACTCGATTTTTGCCTCGCGGCGAATGCGGCTTTTGGCTGCAGCTGCGAGGCCAATATAAAGATTGTTTGGGGTTTGGGGTCCTTCTGGATCCTGGGCCGCCTCCTTTGCGTGTCGGTCGGCACGTTCATTGCCGGCCACTCCTTGATGAGCAGGTATCCACCTGAGGTGGATTCGGAGGGAGATATACCATTGATCTAATGGTTAGTTTTAACTCAAAATTGTTTTAAAAATAGGTTATCGTATAAATCTATCGAGGAAATACGAATCAAATCCGCATTTTTGCTGGAGTTTACGGCATGAGTACCGACCTTTGACCCCTTGCTGTATAGCCGGCACTAGGCTCCGTCCAGTAGAAGCGTATATTATCATTATTAAGGGTCGGATACTTCATCATTCCTAAGCGCCCTAGAAAGGCGTATACGGAAGAGTGGCACTAGTCTTGGCGTCCTGCCTTGTTAGGACCGAAAGTATGTAGGAACGAGGGGTCCGATCCGCTTCCAATTTGACATTCAGGACATACTTCACTCGCATTCCGCATTACTAGGGAACTGCGCCCTAGTATCGAATCCCCTAAGGTTGAACTCTAGGAATCACAATTTTTTTTTCTAGCGATGCTAAGAACTTGGCTGCGGCAGTATCCATTGTATCCAGGGATATCCATATCCATATCCATATCCATATAGATATCCATGGATAATAACAGGACAAATACGCCAAGAATTCGTGATTTTCGTGTTTTAACGCGTGAAGATCGCGTTAATTAAAGGGTAGGACTCCAGGGACCCCCCCCTCTAGCTAGAGAGACCCCCCTTTTACTCCTCGGACTCCCCCAGGGCTAGGGGGACCCCCCCATGCCTGAATTATAAGACAGACATTCCTATTTCGGTTTAGCGTAAGGCAGTAAGGTATGTATCACATGATACATAACCCCTCAAAAAATTCTTGGAGGTTTTCTGCCAGATCTCTAGTCACATGACTAATTATTCTGCCGCTTTCTGCCATTCTGGTCTCTACAGCCTACCATTCTGGTTCAGCCAATCAGACGCCACCATTTCTCACTCGTACAAGTTGCTTAAATTCGTCAATCTACAGCTATCTAATGCATGATTCTTTGGCCGTGATTCAGGCGCTTGATGCATTAGACGCCTCAGATACGTCAGATATAGCTGCCTGGCTGCCACGGGCTCGGCCACGCCCACGAGGTCCTCCGTTTTTAGGCGGTGACGAGGTTGTGGAAGCGGTGTGAGGACAGTGAAGGCGGAGAAGGTGGGGGGGTCTCTCTAGTAAATTTTTGCCTAGGGATTTTTGCCTCACTGCCTTACGCTAAACCGAAATAGGAATGTCTGTCTTATAATTCAGGCATGGGGGGTCCCCCTAGCCCTGGGGGAGTCCGAGGAGTAAAGGGGGGGTCTCTCTAGCTAGAGGGGGGGGTCCCTGGAGTCCTACCCTAATTAAATTACACGTAAAATAACTCTTATAACTCTTGTTTTACTAAATTCTTATGAGTAATTTCGGTTTCTAGTGAGTAATTAATTAATAAGATAGCTATATTTACTATATAATTGATTAGAATATTTATATAGCCTAATTTTAATATTGTCTATTTTTTGGGGTTTGGGGGCGAAAATTGTATAGTACCCACCCACAGAAATACATATCTTTACCATATCATTTCAAAAAAAGTTCTAATTCAATAACCACCAGTCTAAATAGTCTATAATTTTAAATATAACCTATATACACAGTGTCCTATATTGTATAATATTTATACAAAAAGTACCAGAAACTGAATAAAATATAAGAGTAATACTAAGTAAAAACCAATACACCTATCCAAAATAGGCCTAGTAAATGGATAATTTATGGATATGCCGCAGCCTACTAAGAACCCTCTCTCCTTGGATAGGCACTGTCGGTATTTAACGTAGTTCCCAAGCGAGCCGGCCACCCAAGCGAGCCGGCCACCCCAAAACACGTAGTAAATGCGATAAATTACCACGACCTATCTGAACAAAAACGTCGATTTAGGATATCATATTTGGACATGATGGCCTAGATAGCGTCACCAGCCCACTGGCGTAATTTTGACATATAAAACTAATAGGAAGAGAGACATACTTATATTTATGTATAGAATACAAAGATTACAGTGTATTTTATTGTAACATTGTAAGGCGATCATCTAAAATATTTAAAACGAGGATATATTAATCCCTATGCTAAGTAAATACTATCTTGCAATATTAAAGTAAAGTTAGTCCATGGTTGTTGAGATATGTCGTGGTAATTTATCGCATTTACTATGTGTTTTGGGGTGGCCGGCTCGCTTGGGAACTACGTTAGGGTCTATGACTTCGCTTAGTCATATACAGGACTCCAAATGGGATGAAAGATAAGATGGTGAGAACAGATGCTATTGAGAGGAAACTGTCTGTCTGTCTCAGGAAGAATCTGTCTGTCTAACTAATCACGGGATCGTTCTCGTATAAATAGACCGAAATGGAAACAAACTGGATAAACATGGTGAGGAAGAAAGCGGGGTAAAGCAGGGAAAATCACTAATGAGAATTGAGAAGGTCGCCTTTCCTCTCATCCGGGGGCCGACCCGCCCCTCCGATGAATCTCGAGCCCTAGCTAATTGATCAGGTGAATTTGATCGCAGCTTTAGAAGTTAGGTGTTGAACCGGGTTAACTTCCAACACTATCGCTTATTTTGGTTAGTAATATAATCGGGTCGTCGAAATTACACCGTTCTTAGGACTTTCATTTTCACTAAACGGAGGCTGCTGTAAGATTAAAGGGAGGAGTTTTATTGGGGTTGCCTCACGTTGCCCACGCTGTCTCACGTGACATCTACACCGACATTACGGAGGACTCCTTCCTCCTTCAACTGCCTCTGAAGAGTCAGTTGCTTGCCTCTGGTGGTATCTTGTCGTCTCTCACGCAGTCAAGACTCGATTTTGTCCCTCCCACCTCCCCTTATAGAAACCAGCATTGCAATATACAGACACATTGCCTCCCTACGAGGGAGCGCGGACGGGCCTTCTTTGACGCTACAGTCTAATGCGTTTACGCATAAGACCGCAGCGACAGGTGACCCGTTACGGCCAATTGTACACGTTTCTGACCCTTCTTGACTGCGAGAGTTCACCAATAAATAAGAATTAGGATATACTATGATGTTCTTGATAGAATAAAACTCACTATCTCTTCCTAATTCGCACCTCGTATCTCTCACACTCGATAGCAATTTAATAAGGGGTTAGGAATGGAGGTTTAAAAACACTGAAGTCTCGAGTAGACCTCGCCAAAATCGCGGGTTGGGTTTCGACCCTTGACCCAAAACCCGCCAAGAAATCTGATTTGAATACAGGTAATATATACCATATTACACATATTTATATGCGTTACAGGTAGTATTACAACTGTCATTCCGTAATATACGGGCTGATGGGTTCTTGGTGGGTTCGCGGGTACCCGTAGGGTACCCAAAAAAGCAATATTGCGAGGTCTAGTCTCGAGATTCCCTTAGGACACGACGGCTACGCCAGGAGCACGCACGGGCGACCAATCAGACCCCACATGACTCGTTCTGATTGCCGGAACATTTTGCCGGAATTCGCGCGCATACAATAAACCCCTAACTTCCACATTATCGTTCGTGTAGAAAAAATGTGTGTTATTCACATTGTAGGAAACATATCCAAGCGTTTTATTTGTGATAACAAAACTTTAATGACCGTGAGCACACTATATATAATTCCCTCCGCTGAGAGGATAGGGCAAATTTTTTTTTGTACGACGAGCAGTACGACAGGTTCAAACCGATATTCTTATTCGCACCAAATTTTTTATCCGCCTTTGCAAAAATGCTTTTCGCTCTTCTTACCCTTGTGTGCTGTGCTTTTGTCACCGCTCTCCCCGGAGAACACGGTCCTGAAAAGTGGGGTGAGCCTAAGGGTGGGAATGGGAATGGGAATAAGATTATTAACGGTGGCGATGGTGGTGGGATTGATATTGGGATTGGGGGTGGGGGTGGTGGTGGTGGCGGTTGCGACCCAGTCGCTTGTGACATCAAGGTAGGATACGTCCATGGATGGCGTAAGAGGTTACATTAATACTAACATACTGATTCATTAAAGTGTCGAAAATTGGGTGACCAATCCGGTTACTGCGACGATAGTGATAGATCTACCGGTTTACTTGGACTTGATATCCTTGGACAAACTATGCCGTTAGTCTTTTTCTCCATCTTCTTGGGATTGTACAGCCACTAAAAGCTAATGTGAAATAGAGGCTGCATTTGTGTACCAACAACCACGACAGATTGTACTACAACTGCTACAGCCACGACCACGACCACGACCACGGCCACAACCACAACCACCGCTACTGCTTGCCCTACTGTCGCATGCTTCTGCTGCACCCAACAAACTCAACTGGGTAACGATTTCCTTACCGGTACATGCGACATTATTCCAAACTCTGGAACCTGCCCAGTGGGCAATCCACAAGGTAGACGCTGGAAAGTCTGCTGCGACGGTGCTGGAAATTGCGAGCAGCAACTCCAGTAGGCCAAGCACAATGTAGATGCTTCAAAGTCTGCTGCAACGGTGCTGGAAATTGCCAGCAGGAACCTTAACCGTATTGGACGTATTACTTTTCCCAAGTTTTGACTGTTCTAACTTCCGCTTGTTCCGTTCCCTTCATTCGGGTTTCTACCCCCAATTACTAATGACTTGAAGGCTTTATCCTCGCAAGTGATTAGTTAGTTTTTTATTTGTCGAGGGCCTTGTGCGTATTAAAATTTAATTATCAACTTCAGCAAAACGTCCTGTCTCTCCTGCTTGTTTTGTTATCTTGTCTTGTTATGTCTTCTGTAACGGGCTGAAGCCCAGGATATGGCCCGGGCTATGCCCGTGCGCCACGTAGACATCTTCAGGACCCACCAGTGGGCCTAACCGTTGGGCCCAAAGCCCGACCCCTAGGCCCACGCCGGCCCCGCGATGGGCCCCCGACAAAAGCCCATCTTGCATAATTATTATTATTATTATTATTATTATCTTGCATAAAAGTAGGGTCATGGCATTCATAAAGGCGCTTAATAATCTAAATAAAATACTGTATTTTACCTCTGTTCTGGTTCTTCCTATAAAAATGCTGCAAGTGATCACCTAAAAGTTGGAAAATTTAGGAAATCTTTCTGAAATTAAAACAAAGATCCCTCGTTCTTTATTATTTACCAAGGGGAAAAAATGAACTTCCTAGAGTTTTGGGCGCTTTTTGTTAGTGGGGGGACCAATCTTGCATTACGTAGAAGATATATTTTACATATGGACGCCCACTAATAACCTTCTACACAACAGACGTCCTTCTAACCCTGATTAGAGCCGAATTCCCTTTATTAAATTATTTCGCTTCATCTGCAGCCGACGGCCCAGAGGGCTGCGCAGATGAAGGCGGTGGGGGATGAAGTAGATCAGAGAATGAAGTCTGATTGTGGAAAGGAGAGTGGGTAGAGGGGAAGCGACGTTCGTTTTGGATTTCTTTTGTTTATTTTGTCTATTTTGTCATGCTTGCATACATTCTCGGGCGACCATTAAAGGGCTTGCGTTGCAACCCATGGAAACAATCGTTCAATGGGCTGGCGACCACCTTCAAGCTGTCGGCAGGCCTGACAGCACTCCCGCATAGCAGCATATATCAGAGCAAGCTACATCGGGCAAATGAATTCATCATCATCATCATCATGTGCGACCGAATTAAATCTATTATAACTATGACGATTTGAACGTAACGTAATCAGTAAGCGAGTGAGACATGTAAGCGAGTGAGACAGAAAACCAGCTACTACTATTTCAAACCAATTTATTAAACCACCAACGCCATTGATTTCAAATTTCTATCTATTAGACCTATCTGGGCATGTCTCTCTTCTATGTCCTGGGAGCCTGCATATCCCACATCCCCGCTGGCCCCGTGTACGTGGCTGCGAAGCTGACGATTCTGGTTCCGCGGGGGTAGTATTAGGAGCTTCATGAGCCTGGTTCATCGACTCCCTGGCTTCTTGGCCCGTGAAACCCTCCGTATGAGCTACGCGCTTAGCCGTTCTATTGCGTTTTTGCTTTTGTGTCTCGTTTTCAGTCCGTAAATCGCGGACTTCCTTTAGAAGGATTGCATTAGAATGCAATGATTGCTGATAGCCCTTGAGGAGCTGATCAATAGCTTTATTCGTAGGCGTCGGAGGGCTTTGCGAACGTTTCTTAAGCAGTGTCTTGATTGAAGAGCCCTGTCGATTCAATTGTTTGAGATTTGCTGGCGTTTTAGGGCTCCACGCGCTCGATTGGCTTCCTGGTCGACTGCCTAGGGGGGTAGGTGTCCGAAGTTGAACATCAAGCTTTGAAATGACCTGATTGGGATCATATGGTACTAAACCAGCTGCGGCGAATGCATTTTGAATAGTCTCTGGTTTAAAGGCTTCTTTGCGAGCTTGTGGGAATGCCGCGAGGAAATCAAGCTTGTCGATATGATTGAACCCCAACCGTGCTTTGCGTTCAATCAAACTCCCATATGCGCGTTTTAGAGGGGCAAAACAGCCTATATCCAAAGGCTGTAGTAGATGAGATGAATGCGGAGGCATGCAGATCGGAATAATATCGTTTTGCTCGCACAATCGACCAAAATGGGGGGTTAAATGACTGCCATGGCCATCGAGAACTAGTACTCGATATTTACCCCTAGTACGACTAGTAGTCGCAGGGATAAATAGCTTTTCTAGCCATCGAAGCCCAATTTCGTCTGTAGTCCAGCCATTCTCACTGATTTCGATTCTCTGATCGTCGGGTAGGTCATCAAACCATGCATATTGTTGGTACTTTGACGATTTGAAGATAATGCATGGTGGGAGTACAAAGCCCGTTGAATTCACACATTCAACCGATGTGACCCATTCGCGATTCCCTGGCTGTAGAACTGACCTCCGACCGTAGTAATCAGCTCCTGTGATCACTTTAGCAGTAGCTATAAGCCCCATTGCAAAGCCAGTTTCATCAAAATTATAGATATCCTCAGGTTGGATACCATTCTCGTCAATTGTGCGTCGTACAAGCTCAAAACATGGCTGAATAATACGAGGATCTTCGCATTTTGCCCTCTGGTGATTATACCGTCGAGAATATCGCGATTTGAGCTCTTCGTGGCGAGTGGTATAGTTGTAAACCCATTTAGTTCCAACAGTCTGACCACCACGCTCTGCTAACAGAATATTGGCCATATCCCTCACCATACTAGGTCGGGGAGCTGATCCACGCGTATCCATAGAAAGAATCCACTGTAGAAGCGATTGCTCTTCGTTAGGAGTCAATTTATATTTGTTGGCGCGGGTATCGGAGCGAAAGGTTTGGCCATTGTATCGACGATGAAGAGTTGCGTGAGGTACTTGGAATCGGCGCGCAGCCTCGCGAATTGTAGGAATTTCTTTATTCTGATAGGCTTGTATGGCGAGCTGGATCCTACCCTCCTGCTCGATAGAGTTTCGTGAATTTTGACTGCGAATTGGGGGCATGGTGGGTATTTGAAATGATCATGTTGACGCGTTGGGGCGCGATCGCGTTTCTGTCTCACTCGCTTACATGTCTCACTCGCTTACCGATTACGTTAATCTACGAACTAGAACTCATTAGGTTGGGGGGTAGAGCAGATATGATCACAGACAAACCCGACATAAAAGAGGGCCTATGTGTGACGATCTGGATGGAGGTGTTATGTTGGCCCTTGAACTTAGGCCCTGCGTCCTGGGTTGAAACTTTTTAAAGGTCTTCTTAGGCCGAATGGCTGGGAATGGTTTTGGGAATGGACTGGGAATGGGTCTTGGTGGGCTATTTGTGGACTATATATGGGTTATTATGGGCTTTGATGGGGCGCGTTGGGTCCGATCGAAGAAAAGCTTATGTTCTTTACAACGAGATGTGTCATAACGAGTATGTTGAGTGGTGGCTACAAACGGACTATGGAACAAAAAGCAAGATAAACTGGGACTCAAACCATCTCTCTGATATTTGGAAGTACTTTGATCAGGTTGCACATAGTGTAGATGGTGCACCAAAGGTTATGTGCAGACGATGCTGCCAGGTCCTTGAGCATCCTTATTCCAAAAGAAGGACCGCAAGGGAAGGGATACAGGCCACGGCTTATCAACAATGGCAAGGCATCTGAAGACTGCTAGCTGCTTACGATCGGATGGCCGGCAAACGGGAGAGATATCTAAGCTTCTACAAAAAGGGGTACGTGTTGAAATAATAATAAATTTAAGATATTAATATTAAATATTACATAACAGGATACTGCCTCGACCGATATTCCGTTCTCTCAACAAGGTTGTAAAGGAAAGATCTTATCCTTTCTTTCGATTAATCGCCTTCTATTCACCCTGATTGAGCACCCAACATTCATCAGCTTAATCAAAATGGCCCGGTCCGCAACATCCTGTCCTTCCGTCCCGTCTGCCATCACAGTTCGCCGCCGTGTAAAGACACTAGTACAGGATCGACAGCAAGACATCCTTCGAATGCTACCATCACAATCCAAGATTTCAATTGCACTTGATAGATGAGCATCACCACTTACCCAAGCTTTTATGGCTATTACTGGCTATTTTATTGATGCAGACTGGGTTTACCGGGAAGCTCTTCTTGGATTTAAGCCGCTCCGTGGTGCACATACTGGTTCGAATATGAGCAGTGTTCTTTTAGAGACACTTATAGAGCATAAGATTCAAGATCGAGTCTTCGGGCTAACAACTGATAACGCATCAAACAACAAGACACTTCAGCAAGTTTTATCTGATGATGTGAATCTTATCCGAACACCCTGTCTTGCTCATGTCATCCAGCTCATTCTGAATCAGCTTCTGGACTGTCTAAATGCAGTTCCGCTCAATGATAATGCGGAAACTAAATCGGCCAATTGGCAGTCGTCAGCAGCAAAGGCTACGCACGACACCAAAAATATGAGATTTCGTCTACTTTAAAGAAAGCCCGGTTTCTTGCGATTTACGTCAACGCAAGCCCTCAGCGTCGAGAGGCGTTTAACAATCTCCAACTAGATGAACCAAAGCTAGTTACAATCCAAGATGTTAGGACTCGGTGGAATTCGACCTTTCTGATGCTTCGCCGAGCCAAGCGACTTCGGCCTGTTTTTGCTCCCTTTCGCGCAGGTTATTATTGCGAAGAGATGCTGCTAAGTGATGAAGAATGGCGTCAAATTGACTATCTTCTTTGTATCACTGAGCCATTCTTTATACGACTGAGCTTTCAAAGACTCGCGATGTGACATCACATCTAGTTTTTAAGATTTACAGTGTGCTTTTTGACCATCTTGAAAAGTCTATAAGCCAGCTCCAGCGAAAGTGAGTTCTATGGAAGATGCAGATGTTAGAGCCCCTTAAGGCTGGTCGACGGAAGCTTGATGAATACTACTCGGAGACAAATAGTGCCCGTAGATATGTCTACGCGATCAGTACAATGCTTGCCCCAGACATCAAGTTCCAGTTCTTTTTAACTGATGACTGGGACAAAAAATGGCGGTATACTTACCGGAATTCCTTCCAAGAAGCTTTGGCTCCCTACCAGCAACGCCTAGCTGATGCCCAAGGTCCCTCTAATCTTCACACAACAACAAGACCAAGCTCAAGGCTGAGCAAGGTATTTAAAGGACACAAGCAACAAGCAAAACCAGTCGTGGATGAAATGACTCAGTATCTAGATAGTGGTATGTTGATAATCCTTTAATCTTTATTTGATACTAAGCTTTTACTAGATATAATTGATATGGAGCCTCTTCCTTCCTGGAGGGACAACCAAGCCCGTTTCCCTACGATTGCATTACTTGCACGAGATATTCTTTCAGATCCGGCAACAAGTGTAGGCGTTGAGAAATTTTTTAATACTGCCCGGGATCTCTGCCATTATCGTCGCGGTCGGATGAAGTCTGAGACAGTTGAAGAAACTATGATGCTTCTTTGTACGTCAAGATTCGACCTGGAACAGCAAGAGGCGGAGTATCTAAAGGAATATTCTACTCGCGATGAGATTGAAATGCGGAGGGAAGAGAAAGATGAGGGATTTAGTATCAGGCCAACAGTCGCTCCGAACACTCAGCTAAGATTTGAACACTCCGTTTCTACGCGCTGCAACAAGACTTATGTCGTATTGGCGCTTGGAGAAGTCAGCCATGTCACTACTAAGCGCCCAGAGGACGGTCAGGCTGAATGTGTTCTGCCCCTCTACACTGCATGACCATCGTCCCCGTTCGCTCAACCACAATCCCTCTCACTGGACATCCAAGCGTTGAGGGTCCATGAAAACCACGATATGTCCATCGATAGGCCAACATCCACCAAGGAAGGACTGTCTCTTTCCATTATGATCAAACCAGAAGACATATTTTTCTCGGAGAGCGAGCCAGGGCGATTTTGGATCCACAGAGAACCCACTCATATAAGCCGAATGCCACGTCTGGGTTTGGGACTAACTGAGATCAATCAAAATGAAAGGAACCGCTCGAATTCTACCACCAGACAAGGTTTCTGAGATCTCAGTTCATGAGACACTCGCTGATGTCCTTTTACCGGCGGTCGATTCAATGACTGTCGATGATGTTGGGCAACTTCCTTGAGACTTGACAGTCCCGGAGGAAGATAGCACGTCTTGGGTTGCCTCAATTCCTGTTTTACTTTTCCCATCACTTCACTATTGCCCTACAGACTATTTCTCTCAATTAAAGGAGCTTGTCGGCTTGGACCAGGTGTCAATCTCTTGTCATATGATGATAAGCAGGCTGCTTCCAAATTGAATCCTCTAAAATTGCCGCGTAGATTGCAAATGTTCTGGTAGGAGATAAATTTGCTAAGCAAGATTCCACAATACCTGAACATTGTGCCATTTGATAGCATTGTTCTGGAAGTCACAGAGTCCCGAGTTATTGGATTTATAACAAAATATATCCCGGACGTTACACTAGGGGATACTGGGACACTGGAGACTGCCAATCCAAAAAGGCCTTTTCGATTTGAATGGCTCAAGCAGTTCGCAAAGCTGGTCGACTTCCTCAACTTGAAATTAGGGATTGTGCACCAAAACATTGCACCACGCAACCTGCTTGTCGATCCCGAAACAGACAATATCCTTCTCTTTGATTTCGATTGGGCTGCCAATGGAACGGAAGACCTACTTGATGGCCGAGACGATGTTTCAAGTGTCTCATTTACTCTTCGCAACATAATAACATGGCACACATTTTAAAAAGTTTCCTCACTGGAAACGAAACATCGACATGGTTCAGAATATTGAGTGGCCCTGTCGCAGCGGGCTAGACGCCGACGTGTCGGTGTTCCGCGACTTCTTGAATAAATGAATAGCAAATTGAGCCGAAAATGGCATGGAACAGTATTTAAATGGGCCCAGGCGGCCTACGACGCCGTGTCGCCCAACCACTCCGGATTACAGCGTACCATATGCATGAACATGGTAGGACTGGTTAAATGAGTGAGCTAGCCAGTGAACAGTGAAAAAGACCATTCAAACTATCTGGGCTAGCTAGGCAGAAGGAAGGAAGAGAAGAAGGCCGAGTGGGTGGAGAAGCGAGTGGAGTGGGCGGTGGTGGGACCCATCGCCTGGACACACCACTGCCTGCCATTTTCTCAAGTAAGGACAAAGCAAGGAGGAGCTTGCTGGCAAACGGGCCCGTGATTGGGACGAATGTCCTATGGAAGGGAAATTACTTCCTTCGGGAAAGGCCGCTACAAGGTAGGCTGTTGAAAAAGACCGAAAATGGTGTATGATAGTTTACGGCTGAAAGACCCGAGCAGCTCGAATCCGACATACTCCGTCTTGGGATCGCCGAATGTGCAAATTCGGGTGTGAGTCAATGTTTTGCGACTCTTTTCCATAAAGCGTTATCTGATCTGCCGTGTTGATCTTGGTCCAAGCCACTGCTGCATTCCATACTCGCGCAATCTCCTGCTCATCAATTTCTGGATATGATTGCTTGCACCTCGTTACTACCACCATCCGCCGAAAAGCCTAGAAGGGGATCATTCGATTATTGTTTCTAGAACCCCATGAAAGTTTGAACACACGAAGCTTTGAAATCCTTGCTTTCCATATATGCAGTGTAACCTACTCTCTCACAGGTTCCCTATATAATTTGATCTCACACAGTGATTCGTCGAGCTTTGAGATACTCGTAATCAGACATGGAGTCACGAACACATCTCTCTATCAGGGTGCCAACGTCTTCTCCAAACTCGCCTCTCCATTTGGCTGCCTCCGCGGCGATGTCAATTGTTTCGGGGGCCTTGTCCTTGATGATGCCCGCAGAACTCTCAAGCGTCGAAAGCATAACACCCGCAGCCTGTTGATGCAGCTTTACTTCATCGGGATCAGCATTCGAGTTGTGGCAAGCCCAGTGAAGAGATTTCTTCTCGCTCTTGTCCGCCCACTCAAACTGCACGACACTTTTATCAAGTCCAGTCTGCTCGCAAAGTTGGAGAACGATTTCAGGATGGTGGATCAAATCGTGAGCATCGACCACGGGTGCAGAAACTGGCACATCCAGTTGCTCGAGGCACCAGTCATGGAGAAGTCGGGTCCAGTGGAAAGTCATGTTTGCGACCGATGCACCTTTCACGCCATCTTCGTCTATCACTCCTGATTCCCCAAGCTTCAACATGGCACGGTACATAGATGGCCACGCCAGTGCTGGGTGGCGAATGATGAAGACCATTTGCCATGAGCGGAGATATTCATCTGAGAACATGGTTTCGTTGGATCGCGAGTACTTTTTGGGTCCATACTTTTCAGGGGTGTTTACCCGAAATGCTTCGAAGAACTTATCGTCATGAAGGCCAGTGATGAACTTTCGTCGAGTAGCAGGGCTAAACATCCAATATGCGTGCTCTTTAGTGAACATCAATTGGTTGTTTTGTGCCGCGCGCGATGAATACTCTTCTAAGCTGTCGAGACACGCCTGACTGGAAGTCTTCACCGCATTTATGTCTTCAGCGGTCCATTGGTCCGCAGGCTTGTCCACGAGACTCCCATTTTGGGTGGATTCGATGAATGCGGGGTAGAAGAAGTAGCCTCCCTTGGGAGTGGTGTGCAAATTTGGCTGTTTCGGGATATTTACGATCCTGAGAAGAAGATTCGAGGCGGTGCGGGGCACTGAGATAAACAGCAGTCTGCGCCCGGCGGGAGTGCCGTTTGATTCGTTCGTAACAGTCATCGGAGCAAGAAGAAAAAATAGAAACTCTGGCTCAAATAAGCTTAACTGGGAGTGAGGCAATGAAAGTGAAGGGAAATGGCTACATTCTGGAGGCAGATGGCGTGATTAAATATTCGGTCCCCCGCCAAATATTTTATGCATTTTAGCTTGGAAAAAAGTATTCGCACAGCACACTGTGTCCTGCTATTGAGGCCGTTCTGTCCGGCGTCCTGTCAGATGTGCGATTGGAGCGCCTCGGAATACAACGGTCCACAATCTCCCGTCAATGTTGACGTGGTGGGGTGCGGGTGTTCATCTCCCGGAATTCAACTGGATTTTTCTACATAGATCTGCACACTTAATAACTCTTCTCGGAAGAATGACAGGCTAGGGCAGAATGTCCCTCGGAGATTTTAGACCTCCGATTGGAGGTCCAGCCACCCTTATTCCAAAACAGTCCATGTCGCATCCTTGTGTCTATGCAACTAAAACCACCATCGAGTCGCTTAGAGGTGCGAGGGAGGGGCTGCCCTGCAGCCAAGGTGGGGTCTAATTCAATGAGCATTCAGCTGGCCTCTCAAGTGACAAGCGTATAAGCTGCGGGCAAGACATCCCAGTCCGCAATCGTAAGATACCTACTGAATGAGGGGATTCACTCGATGGCTCGCTCACGAGAGAGTACTCGGATGGCAGAGAGGACACACACACACACACACACACAATCACTTCCTTCCTACACTACGCTCGTGTAGACCTGCCAGACTGCGCTACTGGCGAGGATGGAGGATGGAGGACGGAAACGGATGATCGAGAGTGGGGAAATTAAATGTGACTGAGCAGATGGTTTTGATTTTAGTCTGTGTGAGTCGGGAGCATATATTGTAGTGGGGAGGCCCCGTCCCCCTACTACATGGGTGCCATCCAGGTAGTTACTCAACATTAGTAAGCAGGAATTTCCAGATTATTCGTATTCGAAATTCAATTATTTTCGAATATTCGACTATTCGATATTCAAAATCCACCCCTACAATGTATACTTAATAGCTGCCAGCTGATGCTCACTAGAGGAGTCTCAGGCTACCTGACTTGTTAAGATATGTGATTGTCTGATTGAATCTTATTGATTGACTTGAGGAGTGATCTATTACAGGGGCCGGATGCCTCTTATATATCTGTTCCCAATCCCTGCCATAAGGTTCAGCCACCGTGATACTCAACATGACTCGACACAAAGTGCGGCTAGTTTGATACGTGGTAGGTTTATATGATTGGCCATGAGACACGACGCATAAGTGGTATGTCGTTGAATACAACATGCCGTACGCAGCTGCAACAGCATCGGTTCTTGCTACTGACACATGATGAAACCAGATGGCATATAATTGACCTCACAGCACCGTCGACCAGCAACCATCATGTTATAAACCCTGTGACACCATAGCTAGTTTTGGGGCCGCAACTCACTGATCGGCCACCAAGGGCCAACCATTCCTAGGAGCTATGCGTTAGCTCCAAGTCATGTGTGCATTCAGTTCGTCAGACAGAAAAGAGCGGAAAACGACTTCCTTCGAACCGTCGCAACTTATACTTATGTGGAAAAGTGGAGACAGTGCCCATATGAATTTCCAGTTTAGACGCTATGTAGCTTATTTTTTTGGGTGACAGCCCTAGCCCGAATTTGGTCAAGTATAAAGGCAATTTCAATCGATGGTCGAATTCAATAACGTAATCGGTAAGCGAGCGCCGCATGCAAGCGAACGCCACACCCAACCAAAAACGCGTCACTTCCGCGCACCTACTATATTCAACCACCCACAATGCCACCAAAACGTTCTGATTCGGTTAGAGAATCTCTTGAACAAGAGGGCAGGGTCCTATTAGCTATCGAAGCTATCAAAAAGCAACAAATCAGCTCTATTCGTGAAGCTGCACGTGTTTTGTGTGTTTCGGATTGAACGCTCCGCCGTCACTTTACAGGCCATCAAAATCGCGTCGATACGCGCGCCAATGGCCATAAATTATCCCAAATCGAAGAGGAATCTCTTAATCAATGGATTACCTCTATGTATTTACGTGGAGCAACGCCTAGGCTTAATTCCGTACGAGAGATGACGAACTCGCGAATCGCGGTTCATCAAATATATAGAGAATCGGTCAAAAAAGGGTATTTAACTATACCCAACGCAACCCAGAGCTTGATTCACGTTTCTGCGCAGACATGACTATCAGTGTGCTAAATGCGAGGATCCAGAGATTATCCGCGACTGGTTTAACTGCGTTCAGCGTGTTATTCTTCAATATGGTGTCCTATACGAGGATATCTTTAACTTCGACGACAGGTTCGCGATGGGTCTTACATCAAGTGCAAAAGTTATCACACGAGGTGAATACTATGGCAAAAGAGCAGTTCTACGGCCAGGGAATCGTGAGTGGATGACAGTGATCGAGTCGATCAACGCATCTGGGTGGACGCTTCCACCTTGTGTGATCAAGCGTTTTTTCCCCAAAAACATCAAAAGCCACAACCCAACTACATCGACAAGCATCCTCGATCAAAGCTTTACTAAAACAACGTTCAAAAAGCCCACTGAGTCCTTTAAATTAGCAGATCGACCAAGTTATCAAAGCCTGCGAGATCCAGATGCCTCGACAGCACTCCTGAGGTTAGAAATCCAAAAATTTCGCGCCGCAAATGAGAAACAGAAGCAAAAGCGCACTCAATCAACAAGTAGAATAGCTAATAAGGGTGACCTAACTGTCCAAGAGGCCCAAGAGCTGATTCAGCGGCCAAATCAGCCAAATCAGCCTATTCAACCACCGCCCGAGCAGCTAGTTCTGACCGCTCAGTCAGCTCCAGACCGCGCTACACGCAGCCAACCAAGATGCAGTGGGTGCAGAGAATATGTGCATAGGATCAATCAATGTAAAAATAGCTATATTTGAATATATCAAGGCGTTATGGTTGATAAAATAGTTATAATATAGTAGGGTAATGGTTAGATGCGGCGCTCGCTTACCGATTACGTTACACGCCCAATTAGGGTTGTGTTGGATTCCCTGTACTGATAGTACTGTCCTGTCAACCTGATACGCACTACTCATGCATTAGGATTAGGGTTAGACCTGTACCTGTATCAATAGAACCGGGTCCGAGACCCACAGATCCACACTCAATACAACCATCTTATACAAATGCTATACAAGAGGTTGATATATGAATAGTTGCCGGGGTTTGAAACGGCCGGTTCTTTTTTTTTTTTTTTTTTTTTTTTTTTGATAGGGTGCACATCATCCGCCTACCGTAATCCATCTCGCAGTAAGTAGGAGGGTTTCAGACTATGCAGGAATCAATCAATTAGTCACATTCCACTTCAGAAGAGAGGGTCAGTGCGCGAGTGTCGCATGACGGAGGGTGATTCTCACCTGGTCTCACCCCATTCTCTCCCTATTTATTGGGCACTCACCCTTCTCACCCCTGGTCGCGCGACGCTAAAGCGGCGCTCACTCTCCCCTCACCTGGGCGGCACCCACCCCCCTACTGGCCGCGCTTTAGCCACACGTCAAATACCAATGCATGCCAATCATTCCGTCTAACCCAGTGGAGAGACAGCTGATCGCCGCTTGACGGTCGCGCGGCTCAGGGTGAATGGAGGATGAGTGTCGTTTAGAGAGGGCAGTGCTTGTTGGTATCACTCGGGTCGCGCGATCACGTTCAGCATGGTCCAGGATATTGCCATTGGAATGGATTGAGATGATTCTGGTTGTCATCACGTGTGAGGGGTAGCATCTGGGCAGCTATTCATGACTGTCCGCGCCGTCCGCGAGGAATACTTGGACACATTCTCGGTGACTTGTACAATAGACGAAGCAGTTTTTATCGGTGTTATTGCTCCGAAGTTCAATAGAGCAAGCTTCAACCAAGTTTTTTCCTAGGCCGGGGTTCGAACCGAAGAATTCAAAGGCTAATGGAGTCCCACCTGTAATACGGTGGTTCGCTCCAAGTGACGACGCAATCCGGGCGGTTTCGGGCTCTCCAGGTACTCACTTGACTTCTGCTTTAATAGGGGTCCTGTTGAAAGTCCTGTTCAAAGCCCTGCAGCCAGCATTGGTCCCGCAAACTTACTATGAATTTATTGTTCTGTTGCGAGCCCTTGACATCCTCACTAGCCCAGCTGAACGATAAATTGATCTTCCTTAGGCCTGGAGGTGCTAACCTCAGAGGAACTCCAGATCACCTCATCGTTCTTCCAAATACTTCTTCCATTGCGCAGCTTCAAGCCGTAGTCCCAAATTGGCGAAATTTGACATTTTTTGAGTCCTCGTTGCCTCATCGCGGTCGCATATAACAATCAGGGAAACTATACTACTGACGTTGCATCCGGTGCGCAGTTCAATTATGCCTTACTTTTCTATTTTATTTGCAATCGTTCTCCAATTCATGTGTATTGAACGAGGTAATATGGCTGAAACTTGCCGCGTACATCTGCTCCGCTGGATGTTTGCATTCTTTATATTTTCTCAGAGGCCGTAATCATCGCGACGGATAATGCGTAGGCAAATCTACAATTTCGTTGAATTTGCTTAGAAACATTCCTGTGATAGCCGGATACGCTATTACCCTGGTAGATGTCTTCTTCCCGCTCCTTTTCTGGCGCCCCAAAGGATCCATGTAGAGTTTACCGCTCGTTGAGTTCTTCGTTCTAGCCCTTGTGCTGGGGTTGTCGTTAGCCTTTTCATTGAGCCTTCTGTCATCAAGGACCAGTCGATCGGAGAGCATTTTAAGGGTTATCTACATACGTCGTCTGTTATTCAATCTGAAGGGTGAGTGGGAGAGATTGTCAAAGATGTCAGGATGTCGGATACGTGTATCATCTAGTATCGAGGGACGGCCAATTGATGCATGAGATGGATTAACGAGAGTGTGTCTGTGTGTTCCGATCTGTTGAAAATGATCCAGGGGCTATAAACTGCGTATTACATCACAGTTCTTCCGAGAATGACCCGAATTACCATACAATTACTATTGCAATGTGGGTGGATGCTGAATAACCAAGAGCAGTGGAGAATCCACAGTATTTTACCTCTCTCAGAGTTGACAAAAGACCATATCCAACTGTTTACTGTGATCTATAGTCCCTAAACAGCTGTGGGTACTCTCGGTGCGACCGTAATGCCACACTTCCTCTTCCTTGGTAGCGCCGTAGTCCAGTCTGGACCGAAAGACTTCGATGTGTGATTGGGGTCCGTCAAGTCCACATTGCCTTTGGGAAGCAGTGAAGGGGAAATTGAGTATGGCCAGTCGATTCACGTCGTGACTGCATGACGTATTTAATAATCAATTCGGCCCTTTCACACTCCACATTGCTCTTTTTGTCAACAGAGTCATCCTCGTTGTGGCTGGTGCATCTCTCTATCTTCCCAGGTGGTGCTGATGCTGATGTCTTTGGAATCCTGTCGAGGATAGTGGGGCAGCACCCGAAATAGCTTAGTTCCGTTTGTGTCGTGATATCTTCATTTGTACTAAGGGATTCTCGACACTCCGAGATCGGGAGGTTCAACCCCTCACCCTACTCATGTAAGCAAGGACACCCTAACGTGTCCTCGCAGCATGCGCTCTTTTCTTCTTTTCTTCAATTAATTCATCCTATCTTTTTGGATTGGTTCCCCTTGGTAGATTTGCCCCATTCTTGCATACAATGCCATACTGTATCAGCTAGCTGCGACAAATCCGCAAGCTGCTTGTCTCCTCCATTTGTCCAGTTGCTGGTCATATGCTTGCTTTGGCCCCTGTTCTGTCCGGTATCTCTGCTGGCATTGTCTGCATTATGGCAGACCAAATGGTGAGCGAAGCCATGCTGAAATGGAGTATCACACCTTGGCTTCGGCGTCTTATCATATGTTCCATCACTTATTCCCAGTATAAGTATTGCGGCTTCTGTGGGCAAGAAGGGCTTGACAAGACTCTCGCTGCCGATCAGGTCGTTCTTAACGTCATCCTGTCATTGGCCTTAGCGCGCCCACCCCCCCTTAATCTGGTTTGCATGCCTCGATTATACATGACTGTCTTTGTCGAACAGACGAGTGAAGGTCACTATGGAGCGGAAGCTGGGCCCTCCGCTTTGCCGCAGTCCTTATGCTACTGACTGTGATGATGAGCGTGGCACTGCTTGCTTTGCTAGGGATAGGAAAAGCATCCTAATTCTGAAAGTTACTAGGTCATTCTTGCTTAGCATATCACGGCAATCACTACAAGGACGTATCGATTTGGACTTGCATCATGGGACCAATGAGTCTGCGCTTCGTAGCGAACCTTTGATATGGGATGCTGGCCATACCGTACCTTACGAGAGCCGCCAATCAAATCGGAAGGAATTGAATAATATTGCTCAACGGGTTAAACACGAAGTGGTGATTACAAACTCTTATGAGAAGATTATCAGATATTTTTGATACATCTGAGTTTCGAGGCAGATGATTTTAACTGAGTGTCAAAGGTCTGCTCGGACATGAGGCTATTCACAGTCTCTTCACTCGGTAGACACAAGCGCCGCTTGGATGTTCACTTCTCGTAGTATTTCTAGAAATAACAACTCTGTGCATTGCCGGAAGCAGATGAAATAAGTAAATGCCATCATCGTCAAAAGTTCAGATCTCATTATGTGACGGAAGCATGGGCATATTGCTCATATGACGAGATTGATCCTGTCAAGCCAAGAAGGGGTCTCGACCTACACACTTCTTAGGCGATTCGGACAAGTTAGCAAATTGTTGGTGCCATATTTGTATCTCCGCATGAGAAATCAGATCTTAATCGGACACTTGTGTCTGCACTACCGCATCCACTATTTTGATGACCAATACATGTAGAGGCGCCTTCTGCCGTTTAATTGATGCAGATTTTAAGTAGTGAAACTTTAATAAAGATTGCGTGCGAGTTACTACCATCCAAATAGGCATATGGAGAACGAAATGAATTTAGTTCAGCCTTTGTTAAGGGGTTCTATTCTACTGAAGCAGAGTAACAACAACCTACACGGCATATCGTACAGCACACAACTGACAAGAGAAACTTGATCACTGATCTAGAACACAATATGGTATTCCATCGAATGGGCTCCATGCCGTATGTATGGTTCTCAATATTAGAACTTCGTGAGCCAGCTATAAGTTGCAGGCCCAAAGTAAAATTTGGGAAAAATTGAGGCATGATTTCAGGGGCAGCCGAAACAACTGGGGGTTTTAAATCAGAGCTCCCAGCGCCACACAGGGAAGACCGAGTCCGATAAGATCGCCGTTCTGTTGAATATCAGTAAATGACTGAAGATAGGGTTTTCATAATACGTACCGCGCTGGAAGGCGAGTTCTGACAACAAGCGATGTTCTGTTGGCACTTCTTCTTGACCAAATCTTGGATCGGGATATTGATGATGATCGGAACTGCATCAAATTAGTACACATCAGATGAGCAGAAACAAAAGGTATCATACTTTGGACATCCAACTGGGAGCACTGATCAAAGAGACCAAGGCCGTCGGAGCCAGAGCCGCTAGCGATGAGGTTGCTAAGAACACCTCCGAGCATGCCCTTGTTAACGGTAGTGCTGTCGCCAGCATAAGTGGCCTTGTTGCAGCAGGATAGCTGGGCCTGGTCACCACACTTGGCCTGTGCCTGTTTGACAGTCATGTCGTCGGGGACAGGGAATCGGACGTGGGTGTTGCCCTTGTTGCCAACGCCATTGGCATTGCCAACACCCCCAGCGGATGGGCCGTCCGCGGGCAAGGCAGCGACGGAGGCAACGAAGGCCAAGCAGGTCACGAGAGAGAATTGCATTTTGCTGAAAAAATGGAAAATATAAATAAAAATATCCTTTTTCGGATTGGAACTTCTTGCGGAGTGTAACGAGCGTGCTGGATAGTAACGCTTAACGAGAGTGATACGCTGTGAAGAGAGGAGCTGGATCGTAAGAGAACAAGTACTTATATCTCGTCCTGGTGGCCCGTGACCACCTGCCAGGATGCCTTTGGAAGCCCGTTTACCCTGTAATGCAACCTCCTACGTTTCAATTTGATATTCAAAGAATCTGAAAAGTCAATCACTTCCTCCCTGAGCCCTCCTGGTATGGATATCCCTTGTACCGGACCTCCTTGGATGCGAATAAAGCAGTAGACCTGGCACTCCTGTGCCTTGCTAAGTGATTCTTCAGTCTCTGCAAGGCGTTCTCGTTCGGTCGTGACCGAACATTCCCCAGTAGAATTCCGCGGGTTACGACATTCCATCAGACCTAAATCCGAGTTCAGTGTTTGGAACCTAGGGGCTCCGAAAGGGACCAAAGGCATTTGGAGGGCTTGGCGGGTGGTAAATCGTGCAGCAAGGGATGACGACGGCTACCCAAATCAGCACCTCCGACCAGATAATGTCGCTTCCGAATGTCCTTCAATATTTCTTGCCCTTGGGCCATGAGTTAGCATAGAAATTTGAGAGTGTGAGATGTACGGGATGATGGTGAACGGGTGAGAAGAGGTGGTATTGGCTATCTGCTGCTATCTTAGAGAGAGAAGAGGAAGGAAGAGAGAGCGTAGGAAGAGAGAGAGGAGGTACAGAGTCAGGTGACTGTGGTGACTAAGTCAGTACCTGTCTCATTGGCCTCTGTCCTCAACCTGCTAGTGGGGTTTTCAGCGCACCGAGGCAATTCTGACCTGGTTCTGTTCCAAGCGATTGTTTAAGTGCCTTCAGTCCGCCGTTCTTATCAAGCAATCGTATGTCATGTTTCCAATAGCTATTTTGTGTTGCGGTCAAATAAAGCAAGCCTCTGCCCCTTATTGTGCCTGATAAAAATTCTGGCTTGGGAGGTGATGTCAATGCAAATGGCAATTCCTTGCTGTGCTGCGTTCGTTTGCAAAATTACTCGGCCTTATCACTCATTCGGTTAAATTGGAGGCAGTATTACATGCTCGGTGGACTCACCGATTCGCCACATCTACGTAGAGTTCATATCTACCAGAATTTGTTTCCTCTGCTAAATTCGATTTCCGTTCCCTTTCTAGCAACTAGTAACTTAAAAAACCTCTCATCACCGGCGCTTATCGCACCGAAGGGCAATAATGTAACAACAAGTTATAATGTAACAACAAGTTATAACTAGGCAAGCACCCACGCATTATATATTTGTAGATACACGTGTCAATGCATTCATATCATGGTGAAACAGTCCTGGTCATTCATACAGTCACATATATTCTGGACTTCCGCAGAGCCCACGAAAGCCCAGCCCAAAAATGGGGGCCCAAAGTCCGCTAAACACTGCAAACAGCCCGGTGTTCCGTGACTGTATAATTTGTGCAATTTCCAGCTGTAATATTGAGTATTCACTTGTCTCTGTATCGTCATTAAGTGGAACAGCTTTTAAACGCTCAAGAAGCTTGTTGAGACGGTGTTGGATAACATGAGCGAGACAAGGCGTTCGGATAATATGAACATCGTTAGGCAAAGCTGATTGGAGTGAGTCTCCTAATGTCTTATTGTTTGATGCATTGTCGGTAGTTAGTCTAAAGATTCGATCCTGGATCTGATAATGAACCAGTGTTTCTAGAAGAACACTGCTCAGATATGTACCAGTGTGTGGGCTATGAAGTGGCTTAAATCTGAGAAGAACTTCACGATAAACCTAATTAACGTCGATAAAGTAGCCAGTTATCACTATAAATACTTGCGAGAATGGGAAATCTAGTAATTAAGTGTAACTGAAATCTTTGAATCAACTAGTAGTAATCGAAGAACCTTATCTTGTCTTTCTTTAACGAATCTCGCTAGTCGATGATGGATTGTATTAGCAGAGGGAATAACTAGAGGTGTTAGGGCAGAGCGAGCATTATCGTTTAGACGTTAACTAGAAGGCCAGATGCTCAGTAAGATAAAATAGAAGCCGGTTAATAGTGATAGACTGTAAGATATCTGTTTCTCACTTTTCTTGCGAAAATAGACGATTAACAGAAGAAGGATTATTATCCTGGTAGAATTAGAGCTATTAATCTTTGTAGTATAATCACAAAATAAGAAATAGTATATCTTTGTTTTGAGGAATCTTAAGAGCTCATCCCTTTACGATTATTGCTTTTTAAATCTCAGATACGTGGTAGTCTTAAGATGTCTTAATGTAGTTGTTTTTCTATGTCGTCCCTCTTTCCTATCTTTCTTCTTAGGATAAGTATACTTAAAGAGCTAGTTGCACCTTTTATATATCACCTTTAGCGCACTATCTGACCTAGTTGTAGTGATTCTAGATATCTAAAAGATAGTTAGAATCCTATATAATCTTGCTTTTTGATCTATAGTCTATCTGTAGCCCCCAGTCTACCTATTCTATATAGTTTGTTATGGTATAGAGTACGTATACCTTTCTTTAATTAAGTCTAAATTAGTTAAGGAAAGGAGGAATCGTAAGGGGGATTACTATTCAGAGGAAAGAGGGATCGAAATCGAGTGTGTTCTAGCTAGTAAACAGTGTACTAAATGGATTTAAAGAAGCTAAATAATATAGAGGTTCACTAATATCTCTATTATAGAGATATTAGTAGGTCAGATTATTGACTCTGGGACATTTCACAGTAAGGAGTCTAGTGATATATAGAGAAGAGGGAGATTATAAGAGGAAATACCCTTAGTGATTATATTAATCTAGGAACTTTTAAAATAAGTTAAAAAATCAAAAGGAAGAAGATAAGTAGCTAAGAACTAAAGAGATCTAAGAAATTAGGTGGGTCAGGCCTAATAGATCCTAATAGGGCCTATAAAAGCCCACGACAGCCTATAAATAGCCCACGAAAACCCATAAATAGCCTATAGAAGCTTATAAAATCCTATAAATAGCCTGTTCTTAGCCCACTAGACACGAAAACCCCTTTAAAATATTTCACTCAGTCAGAGAAAGAGGCATATATGTCTATAATGATCAACTAAATCTTAATTAATTACTTGAATTTCTCTATATTAAAGATTAGAAAACTAGGATAGAGAAAATACACTTTTATTTAATATAGGCAAAGACATATTGACGTTAAAAAGGTAGTCTTTATTGTAGCCACACTTTTGTCTAAAATATGAATATAGTGATACATTAACTATCCAGGATATATTTTCGCAACTTCAATGCAATTCCTTCAACCATCAACCCAAAACCAACCTCAATAATAAAAAATTGACTTTTTCTATAGTAATTAATGCAAAACCAGACCAACTGACTCAGTCCAAATATGTATTTCAAAAGTTTCATTTGATTTGAAGATGGAATATAGAGAAATCCGCGGAGCTTTCAGAACGACAGCAGCGGAGGCACTAAACACAGAACTACACGTACCACCAATTGCGATCCATATGAACCGCCTTGTAAAAGAAACGACTTTACGGTTACGGACTGGACCAGTATTGGCTGTCCCACCAACAATGCTACGACGCCGACCGGTGGACGAGAGAGATTGGTCTGGGTGGACACCGATGGAGGCGCAAGCCTGGAAAACCAGCGGATGCCTTACGGCTTCCCCGGGAACTTTGGCGAGGGACTGGGAGAGTCGGAAGGCATTCGTCCAGGCACCATGGCAAGCGCCACCAGAAGTGTTCATCGAGGACAGAGAGATGGCAGTGAAAACTCACGACCACATTATACCCAAAGACCCGAGAGAAAGACCCTTGATTCTCTACACCGACGGGAGTGGGATCAAGGGAAAAATTGGAGCAGCAGTAGTCATTGATCTCGAGGATCACCACGGTCACAGCCAAATGGGCGGCGAAGACACGTCCACTGTATACGCTGCCGAGCTCCGTGCCATCGAAATGGCACTCAAATTAATCTTGGAGACCACGGAACCGTGGGCGGCACAGGCAAGAAACGGGTTTGTCATCTTTGCAGACAGCCAAGGGGCATTGAAGGCGCTCCGCCAACCACGTATGCCATCAGGACAGGTCTACCTGGAAGAATGCCTCCACCTGGTAAGGCAACACGCAGCCAATGGCCGTCAAATCCACCTCAGGTGGATACCTGCTCATCAAGGAGTGGCCGGCAATGAACGTGTCGACCGACACGCAAAGGAGGCGGCCCAGGAACCAGAAGGACCACAAAACCCGAACAATCGTTATATTCGCCTTGCAGCTGCAGCTAAAAGCCGCATTCGCCGCGAGGCAAAAATCGAGTGGGAAAGGTCATGGTCTATAGAGAGAACAGGTCGACCGACGAAACGCTTAGTCGAACGACCAACAAAGAAGACCCTGGAATACTGGTCCGACCTGCGGAAAGCGACAGCGTCCATTCTGATGCAGCTTCGTACTGGACGAATTGGCCTTGCTGCCTACTTGACTCGCATCAATCGGCGCGAGTCAGCGAGATGTGGTTGCAATCTGGGGAACCAGACCGTCGATCATATCTTGCTTGAATGCCCGCTACTCCAAGATGAGCGCAACTGGATGAGAAACGCTCTGTCCGACCGCGGAGTTGCTCTGCGACGCGACGAGCTCCTGACGGGGCCAGAGGCTCGCATAATTGTGGCCGAATTCATGGTCCAGACAGGTCTCTTAAACCAGTTTCAAGCAGTCGACCCATTGGCTCTCGGCACGGAAAAAGGCGACGAGAAAGGATGACCCCTCAGGACAGTGTGACGGAAGGAGAAGGATGGTGCCCGTTAGGAGTGCAGTGCCAGGTCCACTGTACTCCCTTGATGCAAGCGAGCGCAGGAGCGGCAGCCGACGGCCCAGAGGACTGCGCAGATGAAGGCGGTAGGGGATAAAGTAGATCAGAGAATGAAGTCTGATTGTGGAAAGGAGAGTGGGTAGAGGGGAAGCGA